GGCAGCTCTTGAGCTGCTGAGGTGCTGTTGGACCGGCAGCTCTTGAGCTGTTGGACCGGCAGCTCTTGAGCTGTTGGACCGGCAGCACTTGTGGGCTGTTGGACTGGCAGCTCTTGAGCTGTTGGACCGGCAGCTTTTGGGCTGTTGAGCAAACAGCTCCCAAGCAGTTCTCAAGTAGCTCCGGGGCTACTGACAGGTACGCGCCCCCGTAAGGCACCTCTAAATCCCGTTTTTGCAAAGAGTTTAGAGCCCCTACGATCGTGCGAGCAGCGGGCCGCAGGCCCGTGAATCGTCAATGCTCAAAAGTACCGAATTCTGACCCTGTCTTGAACCTGGGCTTGTAGCTGTCACAGAGTGGAGAACTGGAACACCCTCCCTAGAGAGAGATTCCGTATATACCACGGTTGCCAAATCTCAAAGTAATTCAGACACTTACTTATTGGAGTTACAGTTTTTGTTCTTTTCTTGGCAGTACGGTGACGTTCTGTATGCTGCTATGCTAAAAACACGCGGGCAGAAATTTTGCGACGTATGCTTAGGTTTAGGATTTGCAACCTACATAATTTTATAGTTGGTCAGAGTTTGCAGCAACAGGAGGCTCGGGTGAGTTTCAAGTTGACATATGTCCTTAGAAAGATGCAAAAAATCTCAATAGAAAAACGATGACGCATAATCGTACAATATTTAGTGTATGGTTTCATCGAATGGGCATCAAGTTCGGCCTCTTCGTGCATGTGTAGTATCGTCGGCGTCGGCGACCGTTCTGCACAAAAATCAGACAAAATAGTGGCGAACTTTCATTGATTGCTGATTGTTGCTTCAATATTTGTTGCTTGGATGCGTGGGTCAGAAACGCTGGCCACTGCTTGCACCATCATGTCAAGTGTTCGAGATTTCGATAAGTTATTGCACAGATTGCCAGTTTAGCAGAAGTTGTGCCAGCAATCGTGCAAGTTTTAATGACCCACCGTGAGTCATTGCAAAACTCCCAAGCTGTGCAACCAGCGTTCATCGCGTAGCTTAAAGCTGACACATTTGGTCGTATAAGCTCCTGGGTCCTTGTTCCGATGCAGTTCGTGTCACCAAGTGAATCAGTTTGGCAGCCAGCGTTAGCTCTTGCAATGGCGTCCGACACTTGCTGAGCGGCTGAGCATGTGGCATGAGAAGGCGAGCTTATTGCAAACTTGCTGAACCTGTGTAGAACTCAACAGTTATTGAAAATCACCGCAGTCTGACGAAACCCGTCCAGCGCACGAGGTGCTGAAAGCCCGGGTGCCTGCGGACATTCGTTGCGTACTTAAAAACCACATGACACTGGAATAAATCATCCGTCTCCGTATCTCTCCCTGTTCCTTTTCTCTCCGTGTTTCCCGCCTTGTTGTTTCCTCTTCGTGCGTTCCTCTCCGTTTCTGTTTGACTCTTTTTGCTTCAGTTTCTTTCATCTCTCTGGCTTGTGCTTCTCTCTCTGTATCTCTGTTTTTATTTTTTTGTGAGTCTCACATTGTTTTTTCATTCACTCCTTGTTTGTTTGTTTGTTTGTTTGTTGATTTTTTGCTAGCTGCCCTCTCATTCACCATCATAAAACCGTTCGGGAAAGCATGTTGGTACTTAGAACCACACTCTTCGTTACAAAGACGATGACGGCAATCTTGCATCATACATCATTTCCAGCGAATGAACGCACATGGAGATTAGGATTGCCCAACAGTGTGGTGATCGTATACACAAGTCTGAGAAGACCCTGTGCCAGCCAGCGGTCATCATCGACAACGGGTCTGGCCACGTCAAGGCATGACGCGTTTTGGTGTTGCGTGGACAAGAAGCTCGCAGCTTCCGTGAAGGCAGGAGTTGCTGACGAAGAAGTACCACGATGCGTTTTTCCTGCTGTTGTGGGCAAGCCGAAGCATGCGGCCATGATGCCAGGCTGGGAGTGTTTAGGTCCACAGATCCAAATGTCGTATGCTTTCTGAATTAGCGTTGCTTTTCAGACTGATGGCGGAGTGGTTTGAGTCCTTGCGCTTTGCACAGGCAGCGACAAAAAAGACTTTTATGTTGGCGAGGAAGCTATGGGTAAACGAGGTGTGCTGTGCTTGTCTTATCCAGCGTGGGCCTCAGTTTCGCACTTGCTGGGCACAGATTCGCAACTTTTCTGCACTGCACTCTGTTGCCACCTGCTGGACAACCTCTGCACTTTTGGTGCATCCGATATAAGACGCAGATGGCCGATGTTTGTGCAGCTGTGTAATGCCATTGCATAGGTAGTAGACTTAGTCGGAGCGGAGCCAAGTTGCGTGTGTGCGTATGGGTGTGTGTGTGGGGAGCTCTCCTTGTAACCTTCGTGATTGATAGTTGCCTCTTTGGCCTTGTTGTCGAAACCTTATGCCCACAGCTGCCGTTCGTTTCTGAAGCGTCTTTGAAGGACACTATTTCCCTTGATTCTGCGGTCAGAGACACGAGAGCTCTATCTAATACAACCCTAAAGCTTTTGTTGCTGCCTTTCGGTCGTCGTTCTTGTTGTTCCTGTTGAAGGCACGGCCACCACGCTATTTCAAATCCAGCGGGCAGGCTGACTCGTTGTTGCTGCATCCCGAATCTTCCGCATCGCTCAAAACTTATACAATGAAGGAAACAGACCTGGATGCGAATGTCCGGCGCGCTAAACCGCCGAACTGACTGTCTTTTGACGCGTGTCGCCAAGATTGAGCACGGCATCGTGAAAGATTGGTCGGAGATGGAGAAGGCTTGGTGTAGATATTCGGTTGGCTAGTTACATGCATGACATCCCGTGTGAAGGTATGGCATCACACCTTTTTCGATGCACTGCGCATCAATCCGGAAGATCAGGCCTGCGTTGTTAGCGAGGCAGGACAAGTTTTGACATGTCGAATGTGCCCGAACGCCACTAGTTTCTTTTTGAGGCTCGTTGCTGCGATTCAGGCACCAATGAATCCCAAAAAGAATCGAGAAAGGATGGTCGAGATGTTGTTCGAAAAGTGGCGCCCTCAGAAGTCACAAGGTCATACAGTCTTGTGGCAGAATGACAGGGGACGACGACCCTGGCTCAGGTTTAGTTGTCCCGCAGCGTACATCGTTATCCAGGACCGCAGTGCCGCGGTGATGCTTCCATCGTGCTCTTGTCTTGATGTTCCAATGGTCGTTCTTCAGATGTTGGGATTGTGAGCATCGAAAGCGGAGAGCAGGGGGAATAAAGAAGCGGGAAGAAGGAGCAATAGGCTCAGATTCAGGAGCACGAGGAGAGTACAGGAATTCTGAAGCAGTGCCCCGATTCAGGAACGCAAATTCGAAAAACCAGATGGGCCGCCGATTCAAATGCCGTGATACGTCGAGGGCCCATTAAGAAAGCTCCCCCAAATGACAGTCCTGCAACTGCTGCAGCTGTTGCTCCTGCCCAGACCCGCAGAGCCACGCAGAGCCACGCAGAGCCACGCAGCAGAGCCACGCAGAGCCACGCAGAGCCACGCAGAGCCACGCAGAGCCGCAGTGGTATGTCGGGTTTGCCAGCCAGCATCTCCGTTTTATCGAGTTTGCCAACCGCGATATGGGTTTGGCCTGACAACATTTCTTCAACGTTTGGGGCTTGGCAGCCAGCATTTGTTTTATGGTTCTGGGGTTTGCCATTCCACTTGATGATTTTGCAGAAGTCGCGATCCTTTTTGAGGTATCGGTATGGGGTTTGTCAAGCAACATCTCCGTTTTGGGTTTCGGGTTTGCCGGCCCCCTTCTGTGGTTAATGGTTTGCCAGCCGACATTAAGGCCTTGCCATCCAACATATCTAGCAGAACGTAAGGCTGCACTAGGGTTTGCCAACCACGATCTCCGGTTGGTTTGCCGACCAGCATCGCTTTTGATAGGGTCTGAGTTTGCCAACGAACATCTGCATTTCACGTGTGTGTTTGCCAACCAACAGTTCTTTCAGCATTCCCAACGTTTAAACATTCAGGGTTTGCCACCCGTCGTAATTTGCATAATGCAAACCTTAGTGGCCGGTCGGATTTTTTTTGTGGGGAGGTCAGGTAGCAGAAGGAACCAGCACGCAGAATTGAGGCCTCCTCTGTGGTTGCGATGCTTGACGGCTTAGGTTTTAGGGGCTTAAGGTCCAGAGCCCGTGCCAGCCGTTGTCCTGAATCGCTCATAATGTTTTGCAAATCTTCGCCAGTTTTCTAAACTTGTTTTCAGTCTTGTCCGAAATTGTTCTAAATTTCTGTTGTTTTCCCGACCGGTCCTCTTTGTTTTTAAGTTGGTTTTCCGAGTTGTCCGCATTCGGAGCAGGAGGGAGGGAGGAGAAATGACATGCAAAGGATGCGGATGAAAAAAAGAGCATACGTAGTATAATAGCAGGATCTCAACCGTGTGGTCGAAGTCGGAAGATACCAAGCAGTTCGCACCGCTTGAGTTTGGACCATCATCAGTCAGGGGAGAAGCTATCCAAACAGTTGAATGTCGATGAGTGAAGGAGGCAGTGCCCAATCACCCGCTCTCAGGTATACGACCATGTCTACAGTAGACTCGATGACCGCTGTCGCTTCAAGCACACTTCCACATAGAAAACTTCTTGCCCAGAAGGTACATAGCCTTGCGTGCCTGGTTTTCATCTGGTCGTTGCTTCATTCATCCGTCTTCCTGTCGTCTTGCTGTTATGTGCCGTTTCTTCTGCTTGAGGTTTTGTTTTTCACAGCCAATGTCCTTGTGACAGACTGCATGTTGACTGGGGCAGCTCAGCTTCACCAGTCACGACTTAAAATAAAGCTACAGGAACAGGGAACATCGTCAAGTGCCCGTCGATTCATTCAGATGTTTGCACAGGCCGTGATGTCTTTATACTCCAGTGGCCGTACAACGGGGACCGTAGTCGACTCTGGCGACGGCGTGACCCACACCGTGCCAGTTTACGAAGGCCATTCCGGCAGCACGGCAGTTGTAGCACGACGTGTGCAGACAAACAGATGCCTGAGGCTTTGCATTGCCTCACGCCATTCAGCGGCCATGCGCTTGGAATTGAATCAGAATGTATTCAATGTCTGTAGCAATCGTGCTTAGTCAGCATTTGACATTTCGTCGCAAAGATGTTCTGGAGGTTAGACCTTGCTGGAAGGGATCTCTCCGAATACATGATCAAGGCAAGAAATCGAGCGAGTTACGGCTGGTTGAGTTTGGCAGTTTTGGCTCCACGTGACCTGAAGTTGAATTCAGATCCTTCACGAAAGTGGCCACAATATGACGTCTTCATCTGAGAAAGACATCGTCCGAGAGATGAAGGACAGGTTGCACGCAAGCTCTAGCAACTCGCCTTCGCAGTGGTACATGGAAGGGAATATGGACTCTGCATGACTCTGCCAGGAGACGACGTGCTATGTTTGCAAAGGTGACTGGAAGACTGAGATGCAGTCCGCCAAGGTGGAACTCAATTAAGCTTGATGTCTGCTGCCCCGTGGAGATTTCGTATCGCAGTCTTGGCTTGCATGAAGGAACATCCGACAGAATTTGAGAAGATCTACAGCCTTCCAGATGGTCAGAAGGTGTGAAGCCGGACGAGTAAAACGAGAACCTGTTGTCAAGTCGACCCGGCATCGACCTCAGGTGGCCCTGGGCTCTGAGCGCTTTCGGGTCCCAGAGGCTCTGGTTTTGGACCGTGGTGCGGGAAAAGAACTCCGTGCTGATCAGGTTATGTTTGATCCTATGATCGCCGGACGAGAGCTCCCAGGGCGGGCGGCCAAGCCGTTCACATGTCGATCTCGGGCAGAATGTGTCGGTTCTAAGCGGGATCATGTACCATGTACCCAGCGTTTTTGCCCCGACCCCGACAACCCCCATGTTCACCTCACCCAGCGTGGCCTGCAGCATACAGACTTCGTTCTGAGTCTGTAGGCTGTTGTGAAACCATAACTATACCATATTGACTGCTGCTGCTGCTGCTGCTGCTGCTGCGGCTGCTGCTGCGACGAGGTACCGATACTGATAATGCTTAGACGATGATCGTGACGACGATGATGGCGGCGGCGGCCGCGGTGTTGAGGATGGTGACGATGATGATGAAGAAACCCCGCGGTTCACAGGCGAACGCCCTCAGTACCGTGGTTGCGTGGGTGTCTGGGCTCTGGGCTTTCTGTTCGGGGTTTTGGAGGGAGGACTTTCTTTCCTTTGCTGTTCACCGTTTTGGCGAAAGTAGATGGTAAGCCATGGTGATGATGACAGCGACAACACTGCTGCACTTTCCCATATGGAGGTCGAGGCAGAGATGAGCGCATGCCAAAGGATTTTCTGCGTCACGGCCTTGTGGCTGCTCATGAGCTATTGACTCGGGGACCACCGCTGCCTCCGCCAGTCAATCTGCCAGCCGGAATGCCTTCAGGTGTGCGTAAAGAGGAAATCCCTCTGCTGGAGCTTCGCCAATGGGGGCTCACACAGACACGGACTCCAAACCGGAGCGAAGGTGGCCAATGGAAAGAGATTTAAGAATCCAAAGGCCCCACTTGCCCAACGGAGGCTTCAGCCGCACATCAAGCTCCTTTTCCTGCAGCTCTGCAAGGCTCTCCGGCAGCGATGGCGACGAAGACAACGACAGTGTAGCAGCAAGTCGTGTTGATGTTGATGAGGCCCCAGATCTTGACATTGATGATGGCAGCTCAACCTGGAGCGACACAGCCCGCATCCTGGCAGGACCAAGCTTGGCACAATCCACGGGCACCCTGTTGGAATTGTTTCGCACGCAACAATCACAGATTGAGCGGCTCAGCAACCGCGAGATGGCAGGAAGGGTCGGTGCCCTTCGGCGCCGGCTTTCCCCACAAGACTGGCACGGTGTCAGAGACGTGGCACGCCGCTGCCTGGACGGAGATCGGTTGGATGAGTGGATGGAGTTTGAGTACCGCAGCACACATGAACGCCAGCCATGCAGACCGCCAGCAGACCTGCATGCTTAAAGTCTTGCCGATGACCTATGAGCCTCGCACAGCCAGTTTTCAGCTCCGCCTTAAGCTGCACCCTTTAGGACCTCACTCCCGATCGAACCCTAAATCCCTTAGGTTCCTTGTAAAACCACAAGACTCGCGGGCACCTGGCCGAGGCGCGTGCAAAGGGGCATCGTGGCGCTGGTACGCATGCCCCTTGCGCTCTAAGTGTAGGAACCTCCATAAGCCCACCCAGCACGAGACGCGGAGCCACAAATGAGCGGAGCTGGTCCGAAGTCAGGCGCCTACCTGAGACACTGCCTCATAGCACTCACACGTCAGGTATGAGGGGTGAAGGTTGCCCCATGTCCACGGTGGGGGCTGGACCCGACTTTTTGGGGAAGCATCGTGGATGGGGCGCACGCATATCGACCACTTCACAGAAGACGGCCAGGTCACCCTCGTATATTTCGGTCAGAGCTAGGCGTATCAACGCCATGCCATCCTGTCCAGTGGTTCTACGATTCCACATCCTTATCAGCTAAGCCATGATGTCCATCATCACCCATCCGAGCGATAGGTGGCTGCTGCGCATTCTCGACTTTTCGGTAGCACTGACCTTTGGCGAACCTTACAGCCTTTGGCACAGGATGGGAAAGCCTGGGCTAGTTTAGCGGTTTTGCGTCAACAGCTGAAAGGGCTGCTGACAAGTGGTGTCCTTGTGGACCTGCTATGCGCGACCGAGAGAGAGAGAGAGAGAGAACGCTACGAGGTCACTCATGAACTACTTGAAGGGAGTGTGCTTGCAATCCCTGCCCGAGCCCATGGCTTCAAACTCAAAGTAGCTCCTGGAAGTATGCTGGGTGCAAAAACAACACCGCTATTCAAATAGGTTAAGGATATTGAACAACATTGCAACCTCAAGCAATATTGCAAGTTTCGTTGGAGTCTTATATGCGTGTTCATATATTTTTGACATGACTGTACTACTTAAATGGCACCTGGTTAGTATGTCGTTCACAGCATTTATTTGATAATCGTTTGGTGTTTAACTATCAATGAGTACAGGGTTACATAAGTTACATATGTTCATGCTATTCAGTGAGCACTAATTATTGGGCACTTACAAGGGATGTAGTTAGTTCTGACCCAATATTAGACCAGTACTGACATACAGATCAATTTGGTATATGAACTGTTAGTACTGTAAGCTCGTATGGATCAGTAACTGTTATTGTCGCTTGGCCGTTGGTGTTGCTGTACTGTTCAACTAATATCTCATCAGTATATACTTCAAACGGTTGAGATATCAGTTAGAAGAGAGATCAGCACAAATATAATCTAACATCCATAACATAACTGATAGTAAACAGAACGATGGAACAGCCTAGCACGAACAGCATCCATCTAGTACGGATGACTGCTCTGCAAGTGTGCGTGTGTATGTGTGTGTGTGTGTGTGCGCTCTATGCCCTATGCTTAGTTCTGGAGATATCTATGGCCCTCTTGACATGTTCGGTTTCTTGGCAGCCAAATAGTCCTGGAGGAGGCAAGCCTTCCGCCTATTGGCATGCAGATGTGTATGCAGAGACGTGCATGGTTTCCAGGCTGCATCAATCCATCTATCGCTGCATCCAGGCCCGAATTGAGCAAGCAGGGTCAAAAGCGCATGACTGTAGTCTCCAAAGGACTGCGACATAGATCTTCGAAAAGATCTTCTGAAGAACATTGTCCTGAGTGGAGGCGACATGCGTTGCGAGTGGGAATGGTAGGAGAACATGATGTTCAGCTCAGGAAACACGATGTTCCCTGGAATCGCTGAACGACTGGAGAGCGAGCTGAAGGCAAGGTCGGTTTCGCATGTGTTGGATTGCTTGTTTTGTTCACCTGGAGGCTTTGGCCCCGCAGAAAATCAACGTCAAGGTAGTAGCGAATCCACAGAGAAGGTTGGCGAAGCTCGCTGATTGTGCTGAGTTTGCAGATGTCGTGCGGTTCTTGCAGGTACCTTGTTTGGATGGGTGCGTCCATTCTAACTCGGCTCTCGAGTTTTCAGAATCTGTTGATAACGCTTGCGTCTTAGCGACGGCATTTCGGTGTGTGTGTGTGTGACATCTATGTGATGAGACCCTTCCTTTGAAGTGATTGGCGGATGCCTCGCCAAGGAAGGCAGAGTACGATTCGGTGGGGCCAGCCATTGTTCACAGCAAATGCTTCTGAAACTTGGAGCATAGATACGATGCTGTGGCATCATCGTTTAGAGTGAAAAAGCCTTTTGCCAGCCTTCGTTCCGGACAACGTCAACGGCCAACCCTCTAGTGTCGGCCCCACAAAGCTTTTCCCGACTACTATGCTGCTTTTGTCACCAGTTGTGCTGCAGCCCTTCCTAAAACACTGCGGCCCCAATATTGAGCTGTCCTCAACAGCTTTCTTTAGGATCGAGTCATGAGTTTAGCAGATTTAGATTGCACGCAGTAGTGCGCCCGCTGCATGCCCCTGTAGAGCTACCCAACCGGCAGATCAATCTTGCGCAGAGGAGCATGCTCGCAGCTTTGCCAGTTGTTACATGTTTTCAGCTATGTTTGCACGTGAGTGCTTGCTCGCACGTGGCGTTTCAGCAACCCAACTGCGATTTGCCAACGACACCCATGCTTAAAGAAACAGGTGCACTGGTAGGTTTTTTGGGGCTTGGTACTATCTTATGTTTGCAGAGTCAGTGCTTTTTAAGCCGCGCCGCCGGTGCGGCCGGGCTGTATACACACTCGCTACCAGAAGCTCAGCAGGCACTACCAGAAAACCCAAGCGCCTTGGCTTCGCTCTAGTAGCGTTCACCACTTGCCATTGCCAGCCCGATTCACGGCGAAGGTGCTACTTGATGCCATGGACGTACTGCGTGTGTCCTGTTTAAACTGTCATGCTGCAGGTGCTGCAAGCAGGGATGCCTCGCACTTATCCTGCTGCGTGCCTCTGCGCACTTCTGCAATTCTGCAAGTCTGAGGACTTTTCTGCTGGGTACAGCTCCTTCTCTGGCTTTGGCTCCTTTCCTTGTCCGGTGCCAAAGGGGGATGTCGATTGAACAGCTGCAAGCGTCCAGACGTGTCACTGGAGGATGCGGCTGAAGGCTCCGTTCTGTCAATGGCTTGCAAGTCTTGCAGGGCACCGTTTGACAAGGCCTGTGGGCAGGGTCTCGGCAAAGCCCAAAACTCCGAAGCGCTGAAGCAAAGCCCAAGCCCAAACCAGTCTTCGATTGCGATGTCGTAGCTCAAAGCAATAACTTTCGAGCCTGCTTCAGTGCGGAGTTCAAGCGGTGTTTGGTTTCGGGAGAAAAGGCGGCCGTGCGGCCTGATTTCAGGGGTTAGGTTCAGGATCCTGCTTAGCCTGAAATCTCGAGCCTATTGCATGAACAGGAATGTTTGTGGGCCGATCTGATCGCCGTCTGGCTGCAAGTTGGGCAGAGGAAGCTTGATCTTTCGTTTCTTGAGCCTGAAGAGAGGTGAAACATTTCGAGCCTGCGCTTCAACATTACTGCCATGCAGCGTCAGACCTGGAAGTCTCCCAGGTGGCTTTGTGTTGCTTGAGGCTGAGTTGGGTGGTTGAATGACGCTCCTGCGAGGCTGTCGGGCCATGCCAGCAGCACGACGTGGCATGCTGAGTTGGGAAGACTTTATGACAGTCGACAGCCATCAGCTTTCGTGAGCTCTTCGCCGAGGAATTTCCCTAGGGGCGAGGGCTGAAGAGGGGATCTTTTTGTTTAGAGTCATTTAAACTGCTGGCCTGCTGTGTGGCCGGAAGGTCTCAAAATCGGATCGGTGCGGGTGGTGGAATTTAGCAGAGTGTTTGGAAGCTTTGAGTCCGATGCTGAACATATTTAAGGCTATCTGCCAGATGTTCGGAAAGATCGCCCAGCCGAATTTGTTGCAACTAGATGCCCGTCTGGTCAGGTCTTGTGTTGCGCAACACGAGAAGTCTTCCTTGCAAAGCAGATCCGCTTTTGCAAGACCACCTAAACATGAGAACTTGACTGACCGAGAGAGCCCAGGTCACAAGCCGACCAGGAGTAGTTGGACTTCTGGAACAGCTCCGCGAGGGTGGAGCTCGTCAGGCCGGGCTTGACACAATGCCAATGTCGCCCACGTACGCCGGATCCTTTGCCAATGTATTGGGCTGCAGGCGTACTTGACGCTTGCATCCACAAATTGTGAACCCTTCGTTCTGCAGCCTCGGGCACGTGCTGTCCTCAATCTCGCAAAAGGCACAGCAAATCTAGTATGGTGGCTTCGCAGAAGATTGGCTTCACTTGCGAGGTCTGATTCTGGAGATTCATGAACTACATGACTGGAACAGGCATTGATTGTTGCGCAAGACGAGACATGCAACACAGGATCTGACAGAACCTCGTGTCAGTCCCCTCACTCTTGCCTTTTTGCGACAAGGCATCAGCGTCGTCTTCTTCACTTGCGCCAGGCTGTGATCACGCGGAATGTTCCGAGCGATGCGACGAAAGTGCGAGGCAGAGTCTATCTCGGCGTCGCTATGTGACCACGCGGCAGGGCAAAGGAACCGCATGCTACGTGTTACAACGGAAGTCGGCTTTGCTCCGTTGGCACCGCTGCCAGGCTGCGAGAAGCCATCGTGTCTGAAAGCTTAGAGCTGATTGCCCTTCAGGCGCACTAGCAGTCTGGAGTAGTTTTGAGCTGGAAAACTGAAATGCCTTTGAGTCAAAGTAGGCTGTGGTGGCCGGCGGAGGCGTGCAGCCCAGAATAGTCCCGGAGTCCAAATGAGAGTCATTTATCAACTGCATTGTGCAAGGAAAGCTGGCGCGACCTTCAACAAAGCTTCAACAGGGTGTCGCATCTGACCTAGTGACTCGCAGGGACTGGCAAATGAGACATTCAAGCGATTGGAAATCAGACATTCGGCATCATGCTTACCGATATTGCCTTGCCGGAAGATGCTTGAAGCGATTTGATTTTTTGCCGCCTGCTTCTTGAGGAATGGAACCCTGACATGGAACAGTCCCTTGTGAAGGCAAGCTGCTTTGATGCCGAGCCACGCACTCTTGCGCTTTAGATTTCGCTTCTCAGATTCTGGAAAGACGTGCTCAACAGCGCCGAAATTGGTTTCGGAAGCAGCGGGAGTTCTTGCTGCAGGAGTCGTGGTTGACTTGAGGCAAACAAATTATCCGAGGATCCGGGGTGACGGTTTGATCAAAGGTTGGGCCAGGTCTCAGTTGGGGGCTCTGACCATCCTTCAGCATACTAGGCCCTACTAGGCCTTCCTGTGACACTCCGTCTGGTCTGCCTCTCATGCCAAAGCTTGGGCCCGAGATCGCCGCTGCGTTGAACTTTGTCTAAAGTCAAACGCGCACTCTTCGAGAGTGCTGGAGATCTTGACGGGTCGAAACGCGCAGGACCTGCGCTGGGAAGATTGGTCTACCAACTGAATCCATGGCCTCGACCTGTCTAAACAGCAGGCCTGTGCAGAGCCTAGGTCTAGGCCAGATTGATCTTGACGGGATCTAAGACATAGTTCCTTCCAGGCCAGCCACGCAGCGACGTGATGCTGTTGTGGCAAACTCTCTCTCTCTCTCTCGCTCTCCTCTCCTCCTGCCTGCATGATCCTGCATGGCTGGCTGCCTTTCTTTCTCTTTTTCGGCACCTCTCCCTCTTACTGTCCGTCTGTCTCCTCTTCCTTTTCCGACCCTGGAAAGATGACTTAGTGTGATGGAGTGAGAAGCATTTGTGCTGGAAGTCCCACGAGCTTGGCTCTGTCTGTGGAACAGTGGCTGGACCATTGCACTGTGTGTGTATTCAGTTCGGGCTTTCCTACACTCTGGAGTGCAATCTTGTGGAAAGACGTTTTCGTCTCACTCAGTAGGATGCGAGGATGCGTGTGTGCCCGGATGTCTAAGACTTCTCTGCGGCATACGAGCTAGAGCTTACAGGGTCAAAAGCGGAGACTTTTTTTGGGCACATCTAGATCTTTGGCAGGGCCAAACTCGTATCCGTCTGTGCGACTGCGAACTGCTTGGCTCCAGCTGCGATGTCAGTGCTCTGTCATGGAGAGCGAGCACTTTGTACAACCTGCCGGCACCATTGGGCCAAAGCTGTGGAGCGACTGTTCGCGATGGGAGGAAGAGCATGGCTGAATTGCAAGCTGCTCCTGACTTGAAGATTGGCCTCAGCGCAGCCGCCCGATCTCTCCGCTGGCAAAGTGTGCTACGAACACTGAGTGAGATTCGCTTTCTTGGCAAGCTTGATGCAGTCACATGCAGCCTGGCCGTGAGCTGCTGTTCGCGGGCCGAAGAGTGGACAAAGGCTTTGCAGACTCTTCAATCATCCACGAGCATTGCAAAGCTTCGGCCCGACACGGTGCTTTTCAATTCTGTCCTGCCTTGTTTCAGAGGTAACTGGAGACGTGCCTTCGAGATGCAGCGGGCCATGCAAACTGCGCGTCTACAGCATGATGCAGCAACTTGCAATGGCAACCTAGCTGGCTGCCGGAAGCAGCAGGCGTGGAGACAGGCAATTAGTCTGTTGGCATGCTCTCTCATGGTCGGACTTCAGCTGGACATTGTTCCTTGGAATATTGTCATCAGCGCACTCGAATTGGACGGGTGGCCCCGTGGGCTTCTCCTGCTTTTGCACGCACAAACTGCAACCGTGCAGCCTGACCTTCTCACGTACAATTCGGCAGTGACTGCATGCGAGAAGACGTGGGAGCATGCCTTAACAGTCCATAGCACCAGCTGCAGCAGCGGGTCACACCCAGATTCGATCGGTTTTGGTGCAGTTATCAACGCATGTGAGAAGGGCATGCAGTGGGAAGCAGCCATCGCGTGTCTCCGACTGATGCACGAGGATCGTTTGTCCAACGGAGTGGCCTATTCAGCAGCGGTGCACGCTTGCGAGCGCTGCGCGCAGTGGGAGCTCGCTCTGTTGCTGCTGGATGATCTCATGCAATCTGAAATCAAGGACAGAGTACGTATCAACAATGAATTTCGTTAATGTTTCGGTTGCCTGGATACCCAGTGCCCCGGCACAGGTTCAGGATCCCTATGCACTTCTCTTTGCTCCTCCTTTCCCAAGCTACGGCCTTTGGCGCTATGTTTGTTTGTTGATGTGAACGTGTGACTGTGGGCCATGACATCGGACCGTTTCTCTCTCAACGGTAGTAGAGGGCAAGTAGGCTTGTAGGGCATGGAGCTTCCAAGATCGCAAAGCGGTTGGCGGATGACTCCGTGAAGACTTGTTCGCCATGGACCTGTCAGCAGCTGCAGCAGTAGAACTGCACCGTCCTCATTGTCAAGCTTCAAGTTGTGAGACCTCGGGATTTGTTTGCTCAAAAAGCACGGATCGAAGGTCACCGCCCGGGCCGCGGCTGGCCTCTGAGGATATTCAAGGCACCGGTCGGAAAGGCTACACGAAAGGGAGCAGTTCAACGACCTGACATAGTATTATTGATGCAGGACTGCATGTTCCTCGCCCCCCTCCCTTGCGAGATGGAGTGCCACTGACCCTGAGCTACAGCAACTCGCCAACATGTTGCTGTTAGCCTGCAGGAGGCAAGCTGTTAGGGTTCAGCATGATCTAAGGTGACTACAGGTGGCCTGGACGTGTCACTGGACCCAAGTTGTAAAATCCACCCCCTGCTTGATGAATGCCGCGTGGACATCAGAACTTGCAGGTGATCACTGAAAGTGCTGCTATTGATGGTCAAGCTGGTTTGCTTATGTGGTGGCGGCATGTGGAGATCTTCGGCTCAGCAAGAAACAGCTGGTTTTTTGTTTGCTGCAACTTGAAGGTATTGTGTGTACTTCGTCGTTGGTTTCTTGCAGTTTTAAAGCTTGCGGCGCAAGACCGTTTGCTGCTGGACATGGCTGGACTCTGCATCTGTGGGGCTTTAGGACCGCCACATTCCTCGAAGGCGTTGCATCATGAATGGAGCACGCAAGGCACCAGCATCAACTACTTTGTTTTAGGCGCAGCAGTGTCATCCAGTTCGTGCGGCGGCCCTCCCGCTGAGGGGCCGTGTGTTGACCATTTTATGCGCGATACAGAAATTGTTGCGGTTGCCAAGTTTACAGTTGGCCATCTGTCCGCTCATGCTTGCAGACTTTCGCGATCCAAATATACACTGAAGAATGGGTCCCAGGCGCGACTTCGCTGCGGCCGCGGGCACCCTAGCTCAGAGGCCCGCCGAGTCACGACAAGTTTTTGAACCGGGACGCCCAGAACAAGCCAACGGATGCAAGACAAATACTCTTTGGCCACAATCAGGACAACATTGCCACTTAAGCCCTCCGAAACTGAACGAAGTGTTCTTTTGGCATTTTCTAGCCGACCGTCTGCAGAAGGAAGTTGGGCTTGACATTGGCAACCGAGCCGTGAGTTTACTCGATCCGCATCCAGGACGTTGATTACGACTGGGGGCCTGCACGAGTTCGGGGCGGTTACGACAGCAATGGAGGATGACGAAGCTTCGGCCGGGTAGGCAGGAAGTTGCGAGAGAAAGTGGAGAAAATGTGGCACCTTACCCGAACATCAAATCATCCCTGACAGCGGGGCAGCAAGTGCCAGTCAACCGAAGGTTTACTGATGTTTCCTGTAAACAAGCTCCAGTGTTCTGCCCTGGGTGCTAACCGGCGTGTCGGGCACAACGGCTCTCCCCAGCGAGATTGCGGGATCATCAGAATTGAGATCGATCGTCCTGATCGCAAAATGCGTGGCTCTAGCACATTGAGGCACACTGTGCTGAGACGCCTCACATGCTTGCCCACACTCGCATAGCTGGGACAGTTCATTGCAGCTGCCGCCCCAAACATGCTGTGCCGTGCCTGGCACCCTGCCTCTCCAAAGCCAGGAGGATATAAAGGCTCCCAGCCACCTGCCCCTCCCCTGGCATGCCGGCTCAGCCTTGCTTCCTACTTCGCTTCTCCGGTGCAGGGGACCGCACCCCATCTTGCTTCTCTGCCTCTAGCGGTGTGGCTCTGGGGAGCGGGACCTCGTGGGGTTGTACTGGCTGGCCCCTTGCAACGTTGCATCCGTTCTGGAAGACGGGAACACGATGCAATGACCACCTATCCCTTGATCAGCACAGCCAAGGCAGACACCAGGTTCAATTCCGATCGGACGGCGCAGGGACCATGCAACCACTGAACCAGTAAGCGTCATTCGGCCTCGAACGCAGAGTCGTATCCTTTCTTCCGTTTTCAATGCATCTAGAAAATAGCTCGCAAGGAGTCCGGACAGATGACCTTCGCATCCTTGGGATTCCTAGCGCACATCCTCATCCTTTGCTCTTCTCGATTACTTCCTGCCGCAGCGCACTTGGCCCTGCCTTGATCTTGAGCTTCGCCATTGCATTGATGTGCTCGGTGTCGCCCTCTTTCTCCTCGGTGCCCCGGGCCAGGTCCAGTCCCAGTGTGTTGTCATGCTCTGTGTTTGCAACTAAGGGTGCATAGACTTAGAGCATTGAGATTACGTGTGTGGGCCATGAGCTTGTGGTGCATGCCGTGGGTAACTATGGCATGACTAGGGACACGATTTTTGCAGTTGGATGTCCAAATTCGTGCGTGCACCCATCGTTTGGCATTGTCGTTTTTCCTTTCCCCCGTTTCTGAGCTCTGCTCAAATATCTGCGAGAAGGGGGTGATCAGTGGCATCCATTGGTGGAAAGGTATTGTAGAGGTTATCGGAAGTACGAGTGGGCATAGTCCGAAAGGGCGCCCTGATCGGGTAGCTTCCGTCATGCATCTGAGCCAGCTGAGAGCAACAGAAAAAGCTATATAAATACTTCCACTGTGAGACCGAATAGTAAGGCCCGGCGATGACGACCAGGATCTTCCACAAGCATCGGGCCAATCTTGGCATTGGGGAGGCTGTTGGAGCTGCTTAGCAGCACCTCGTGATTGGCTGTTATGTTGCACGTGCATGTTTGTTTCTCGACAGAATGATAGCTCTTACGCCGATACCTCAGATCTGTCGGACATCGTTGGCGTACGTTATACTACGATGTTTGGAGATCCTGGGCGGGAGTTTCTCCATGGTGACATGGCACGTAACCAACAACTCTTGGTCTTGTCCGACGGATTGCAGCATGTAGATGCTTGTGGCACATGGCAAAGTGCAAGGTGGTGCTTTGCCAGTTGCGCGGTTTGCACCGTGGGATCTTCCGGCTGAGCGCATCGCTATTCTCGTGTTGAATCCTTTGAGCACAACCTTCGTGTCGCTGGTCCGCATTTGGCGTTTGCCCGCCGGTGTGGTGTCACGGTGTCCTAAACTCTGCCATGCGATTACACTTTAGAATGATTTTCATCATCTCATGTTTCGGACAGGGCTGGAGTTGAGGCTCAGCATTCTTCTTGTTTGGCAGCTGCTGGAAATCTTTCCTCGGGAAAGTGGCGGCAGTCTCAGAAGCTAGGTGGCTCGGATCGTGCCGGAGTGACTCAGAGTGACAGGTGTTTTCAACATGTCGCGTCCAGCCTATGAGCCGGCGCTTCACAGCTCCATAGCCATCGCTCTTAGCTGCAGCGCCCTTGGCGTCCTTCTTTGGAACGGCAATGCTGCTTCGTGCTTTTGAAAACATAGGTGCCATTATGTCCATTCTTTCATTGTGGTGGCTGGGTTTATTCAGATATTGTGTCGCTTGGATGCAATAAATCTCTGGTCGGCGAAAAGGCTTGAGCATGGTGCAGCCCGATGTAAACGTCAAGCGTGATCTGTGCGACAGCATCCGGCTGCAACTTGCAGGTTGGTGAAAAGTGTAGCACTCAGAATGTCCAAGCATTTCCAAGAGTTAACATTGCAACAGCAGCAGTTTTGTTAAGTTGATATGTGGAATGCTCGAAGGTACAAGGCTACACATCTCGGGCCGAAGGCAACCTCCAGGTGAGGTCGGGGTACTGGTTGGAATGGCTTCGTTCTGGGACGGGCCTAATATGTACAAGCTTCATTGGCAAACTGAAAAAGTTGAATTATGTTCATTAGTGTCATTGCAGTCGGTGGCATTCTCTGTGTTGCCTGACATTGATCAATTGTCTCAGTACTTCGGTGTGCTGGAGGTTGCAGCTGGCAGTCATCCCAGCAGTACTTTGCTCAACAACGAACGTTTTGTGATCGCAGACCGTGCAGAAATCGGGCTGGGGCTGTAATTTGCCCACAGCAGTACAGAGCCGTCTTGAACAGACCCAGACACATCGCAAAGGGGCCCATGATGCTCTGACCTCCTCCCTCCCTCCCTCCCTCCC